TGCCTAAGATAGAATCATTTCATTGAGTGATCCCTTATGTTTGTGCACCCTTTGCTTGAATGAGATCATTTTAATCTCATAACCTTACCCTTTGAACCAAATGTCTTCATTTGATTTGCGTAAGCATGATCCATGGTTTTGAGCTTATTGAATGTTAAAGAGTTGACTGATTTGAGCATTTGCCTAAGTTGAGATTTGAGATCATTTTGAAACATGATGAGCATGGCTAAGTTCTTTAAAGTATGGCTAGTTATGTTACCATCTCTTTACCTTTGCACTTTTGGATTTGAATGCCCACCTTCAGACCTCACTCTCTCATTTGTTCTTATTTGCTTGAGAACAAGCAAAAGGTAAGTGTGGGGGTGTTGATATCTCTTGTATTTACATCATTTAGGCTTGCATTTAATGCATGTTTTGGATCTCTTTTGCATGTTTTCCTTATCTTTTATCACATTTTCTTTTCCTTTTATACTTAGGTTGCATTTAGGATGTAGTTTGCATTTTCTTTGCATAAAGGATGTTTTTAGGTGCTTATGGAGCTATGAGGAGCATGGAGGAGCTTTGGGAGTGGACCAGGAAGCTAACTGAGCCGAATTGGAGCAAGAGGAACCAAGGTAGACGATCTCTACAGAGCCTATCGGTCAAGACACGAAGGCTATCGGTCAAGGAGTGACCGATAGAGGAGCTATTGATCAAACCTATCGGTCAAAGAAGTGACCGATAGAAGTTTACCGTGAGAATTCTGGTCACCCTATCAGTCACCTTCTAGACAGATAGGAATCCTATCGATCACCCTATCGGTCACATTCAGACCGATAGGATCCCAGTCCGAAGCTGCTTTTATTTACACTTTTACCACTACTTTTAGGGCTTCCCCCTTTATGTATAAATAATTATTTTTCTGGGATTTTTGAGCAGTCGTATCATTCTATTGTTCTTGAGTTATTTCTTTGAGTTTGTAAGACAAATTTCTTGCTTTATTTAATATAAGTTTGTATTTGCCTTTAATCTTTTCTTAATCTCTTTTTTAATCATGATTAGCATCTTTTCCTCTTGTGATTTGGTGTTAAACATGGCTATTAGTGAGTAGTTTGCTTAGGGTTCTTAGATGTGGTAGATTAGGGGGATTTAGGGATTGATTAAGATTTATTTAGTGTTTAATAACATGGGTTCCTCTCTATTGATCTGTTCTTAAGCTAGATTTTTCTTGATCACACTTATCTAGGATTTAGGCTTTCTCTTATACCCACCAAGTGTTTGATGAAATGCTGATCTTGTTTGATAGAGGATTTGCTGGCCTTGACTCAAGAGATTGACTGTTTGAGGAGCATTTTGACATGAATAGAGTTGATTATTAATGCTTGTTGAATGTTTTAGCCCTAATGAGAGTTGGTTCTTGTTAAGATGTTTAGCAAAGGGCTATTTATCAAGAGATTAGACTTAGCTTGCCTGTTTGTGAACTTTATGTTTAGGAACCACTATTGCTAGCTTGTTTGCTTGATCAATGATGCTTGAAACAACCTTAGTTAGTCTTTGAATTCCCCAAAATCAATAACCATATCCAGGAACTTGCTTTCTCTTTGTTGAATTTCGAATTTGTTTAAGTGCTTTGTTTATTTACTCTGTCTTGCTTCTTTGATCATTGCTAAACTATCTCTTTTTGAGTTTTCTTTGGTTATTGATCACTTTAGGTTGTTAGTTCAGTTGCTTAGGCAACAAAAACTTTTTTGCTTGCTTGACTTAAGGACTTCTGCTTGCAACTCTTTTGTATTCAACAACCCCTCATGGATTGATAAAACTCAATACTACAATGACTAGTGTAGGTTGAGGATTGAGATAGTCAAAAACCTATCATCACATTATTTAAAATCTATTCACAATTTTTTAATAATTTGGATGAAACTCAACCTCAAAACAAATATTTTGTTTAAATTTTGAAAAATCAAGGAAACTTTACAAAATGACATATAATTTTTTTAAAAAATAATTATTAAATAGATAAATTAGATATATATATTCTCTTTTCGTATATGTTTGAATAAACCAAATAATCTCGAATAGATAATATTTGGCCAAAATTGAAATAAGACGAGAAATTCAAAATGGGTACCGCAAGTAAAAGAGACAAATAACAAAATGTTGAAAGTTATATGATACAACAATCCAATATAAAAAAATATAAAATGGTTATCAAATAGACATGTAACGCGGATCACCAGTTAAAAAATTCGTAAAAAATGAAAATTCGAGATAAGTACGTATGAAAAATTAAAATTCATCTTAAAACTCTTAAAGATATACGATAAAAAAATATAATACACAAAAATGTATAAAAATGATTGACAAAGTCACGCAGATCACCAACTAGTTAGATTATAAATTTACAAATATAATTTAAAATTTGAAAGAATTTTTGGATAAGTAGAACAACAATTAAATCACAAGTATGATTAATAAATATTAAAATTTGTGTTATTGTAGCCATGTTTGAAAAAAACAAAATTGGGTTGAAAAAGATACATTTTATCTTAGAAGCGAAAAATAACAAAGAGAGCAACAGTGAACTGCAATCAGAAGAGCCACAAAACCTTATCTCTCCAGAACCAGAAGCCTGGAAAACGACAACGTTCTAACGCAGAAGCTCTTATCAACATCAAAGCAACAAAAACAAAAAAAAAGCTATCCCTGAGGTTAGAGCAATGGCAGCTGTGAACTGTCATTTCTTCAAGCTATCACAACATCTCAAACCTTCAAGACCTTCCTTTTCCTGCTCCGCATCTCAACCTTCACAAAACAACATAAAGGTAACTACATCATCATCATCATCATCATCATCATTACCATCAGGAGTTTCAGGAGTTTCAATACAAAGCAGTTTGAGATAAAATGCTAATAAGTTCCCTTTATCAGGTCATCATAAATGGAGCTGCAAAGGAGATAGGAAGAGCGGCCGTGGTTGCTGTAACTAAAGCCAGGGGAATGGAGTTAGCTGGTGCTGTCGATAACCATTTTCTTGGCGAAGATATCGGCTTGGTGACTTAAACTTAAGCTCCTCTGTTTTTCCCTAACTGGTTGGTTTATCACTTAGATTGATTTGACTCTCTAACTCTAGTGTTCTTGAATAGCTGTGTGACATGGAGGAGCCTCTAGAGATACCTGTAGTGAGTGATCTAACAATGGTCTTAGGCTCAATCTCTCAGGTTTCATTATTTCTCAAACCTTCCCTTCACTCTCTCTCTCTATCTCTGTTTCCACCAGATTTAAGTTCTAACTTTTACTGAACAACCTTAATGAAAAATCTTTGGTAGGGAAAAGAAATCGGAGTTGTGATCGACTTCACAGACCCATCAACAGTATATGAGAATGTAAAACAGGTAACAGATCAACTTCATTTTTTTATATCAAGCTCCTAATATCCACAACAGTGTTTAATTTAATGATTTTTGAATCTATCAAGGCAACGGCATTTGGGATGAAGAGTGTGGTGTATGTACCTCGGATTAAGCCAGAGACTGTATCAGCGTTATCTGCACTATGTGACAAGGCCACCATGGTGAGCACAGGGTGAGATACTCGCTCCAAAATTCATTATGTTTTCTTTCTTTGTGAGGTTTTGCTCATCCTGAAGCAACAATGGTGAATCTAATTTCTTCACCGGTATGCGTTATAGGGATGCCTTGTAGCACCAACTCTATCCATAGGATCTATACTTCTCCAACAGGCTGTGATCATGGCTTCCTTCCACTATAACAACGTTGAAATCGTGGAGTCGAGGCCTAATTCCGCGGTATGACAAAAAACAAAAACTAATATGCAGATTTTAACATCAAGCTCACAAGAAGTGGCTCAAAAGATACCTATGGAATGCAGGACCTTCCTTCACCAGAAGCTACCCAAATTGCAAACAACATATCAAACCTTGGTCAGATCTACAACAGAGAGGATAGTTCAACTGATGTTCAGGTAAAGCATGAATTAAGATTGCAGCAAAAAATGCCAAAAAGGCTCACAAAGATGGAACAGTTTGGATCATGAACATATTATACATAAACAGAGCTGTGTTTTCCTCATATTTCCAGGCAAGAGGTCAAGTAATCGGAGAAGACGGTGTTCGTGTTCACAGTATGGTTCTACCGGGACTACCATCTAGTACACAAGTCTACTTCTCAAGTCCAGGAGATGTAATTATCAAAATACAGCCATCTATTTCAGAATCAAACTGAAAAATTGTATTTTCTATTTTAAGAATTCTTATGACACAAACTGCTTTGGACACAGGTTTACACTGTTAAACACGACATAATTGATGTAAGGTCCCTAATGCCTGGCCTACTCCTCGGTATCAGAAAGGTGGTACGCCTCAAGGTAACAAAGAAACATGCGAGAATTCTCAATCCATTAATGTCTTACTGTTATCTAATATCTTGCCGATTGTTTTCTTTTGGTTTTACAGAACCTGGTTTATGGCCTCGAGAAATTTCTGTAGGAACTGAAGTGTTTCACGAGTCATCAAGATACGGGTCAAATATTACATTATCATGAACAGCTCACGTCATCCTGCAAGTCATATGAAGAAAAACACATTACACTTACAATTTAGAAATAAGATTTTCATGATGATACGGATATTCAGTTGTAAGGTAAGGACATTAACAGTAAGATGTTCAATGCTTTTGGTTATGGATACCAATATACTTTCAAGTTTCGGTTCAAAAGTATGTTTGTATATTGCTAGTGCTATGTAGTCCACGCGCAAGGATCATGGCATCCTGAAATCTCACTGATTAATTAACAAAAGGAACTAAACGTTTGGCTCTAGTCTAGTTAACGTTCAATGAATATGTGCCCTCTCAAGTACAGATGGAACAGCAACGAATCATAAATACCATGAGGAAACTTTGTGAAAGAAAGATGTGACTGCACATGTTCAACTTAACCACCAAAACATACAAAAAGAAGAAGCAACAAATGCATATATCATTTACATCCATGAGAACAATCTAACCTCTGAATTTCTCAGCAATGGCTCCAATCCAGGCTCTATCTTTATCGCTATATGCATATCCAGCAGTAGAAGCCACCATCAAATACCCGTCCGTTTTCTGCGATTCATTTGTGTTCTGTACGAGAGGTAGCACAAAAAGAGAACGCGTCCCATCAGGAAGAACATCCCAAGATAGTTCAGAACCTAAAATCAAACTGTAAAGTTAGTAACATATCCAAAAGAGTAGACTTTAATGCATCTGAACAAAGTCAGGGTTGTGCGATTGAAGAAAACACACAATACCTGCGTATTGAGGGAAATAAAGGGTCTCTTTAACATCAGCCAGGCCGATTCCATCTACTTTCCTCTTGAACCAATCATGTAGTTGAGACTTTGACATTTGAGCAGGACTATTCCAGTACCCACGAACACAAAGCTCACCTTGAACCGATATCATCTGAAAACAAAAAAGAAGCAAGCTTTTTTTTAGTAGAACAGAGAAGCAAGAACACAACTAAAACCAAGATTAGATTAAAGATGAAGCCCTTGGACAGCATACCACAGCTACGGTACTTGTATTCCTCAACAAAACATATGTTGCCCATGCTAAATCCTCCTTCAAAGAGTCTCCAATATCTGATGATATCACAAAAACCTGATCTCCATCTGCAGGAAGAGTTCTCTCCTCCGCTACAGAACCCTACAAAGTGAACAACAAAGCTACAAACTTTCAAAGTAGATCAGCAAAAACAAAGCACTAATCAATGTAAAATGTGATTTACCTTGAGGAATTTTCCAATGTAAGGTAAAGCTACGGAAAATGCAGCAAGTGATAACCCTAAAGCCTCTGATCTCTACAACCAAACAATTCACACAAAAACAATGATAAATTTAATCGATTGAAATAGTAAACCAGTGTTAAAGCCATTGCTATTTGCTACTATTATTACCAGCTGAGATTCGCTGGTTGGACCCGAAGCTGATAAATGGTTCAGAAGAAGAAGCGATCCAAACCCGTACCCGATCCATCTCGGTAGATAGGATTCGTCAAACCCAGGAATCCCTACAAAACGCAGACACAAACCCATTTCCGAATCTATCTCAAAGATAAGAACTTTCAATTGAAGTAATAAAAAGCAAACTCAGAAGTAACAGAGTACCGAAAGTGAAGCGAAGAACGGAGAGATTGAGCTGTTGCTGATCAGAAGTCTTTGATCCTGAAGAATCGTTCTCCGCACGAGCGAAGATTAGTCTAGACCTCGCGGCGATTTGGGCGCGAGGTTGAAGCGTGAACCTTGTATGGAACGGGGAATTACAAATTTGAATACTCATTTCTCTCTCAAATGTCTTGAGAGACCAGAGAGCAATCTGTATCGCCCGCCATTGATGACTCCGCGAAGAACCTCTGCGCGGTAGGATAGGCCCATTAAGGATAGGGCCCAATTGTTAAAATCATACTACGCTAGCGTCTCCAATTAGGTGGTGTAATAATGGCCTAATCACCTCAACTAGTCAACTTTGCCTAATCCCTAAACGAGAATCCATAATTAATTTTATGATGTTCAATTTCCATTTGATTTTTATTTGTGTGTAAAACACTTAATTTTTGCTATGAAATCGATAAGTACCTTACAGTCTGTTATATTCCCTCAATTCCTAAATAATAGATGTTTTGAAAAAAACAAATATTTCAAAAAGTTAGATGTTTTCAATTTTTTAGGTGTAGTTATTATTATTTTAATTTAATTTATCTTTTCAATATTTATTATTTAATGAAAATTTTAAATAATAATTAATAAAAATAAAGTTAGTAAAGTCTTTTGTAAATTCTTTTTAATAACTGTAAAAATCTCAAAATATCATTTTTAATTCTTTTTTAAGAAACAGGAGTATATGATAGTGATTATTCTCACTTCGCTAATGTACAAACCCATCTCCAGTTAAATAAGCTGATTGAAGAGATATATGTAAAAGTATGTTGAATGAGTGAAAGAAAGTCAAACTTAAATTTAACTTGGAGTGTTATAAATAATTAGTCCAATAAAACGATCGATCATTAATAGCGAAGGTTTATGTTCTTCATCTGGTTATCTTGGTGGATACAGTAAACTAGAAGATTAGATTAGGTTTGAGCTGGTTTAAGCTAAACAGTCTTATATGTGTGTGTTACACGTGTGAGAGTTTGTTATTGATATGGCTAAGTGTTAAGCCGATCAGTCATTTTTTTGGGTTGTATCGAGTAGATCTTATCTTGTATTATGAGAGAGAGTGAGATCTTGTACAGAGAGTGAAACCTAGAGCCTGGGCTTGAGCTGCATTAGTAGATTTCAGATAACCTCCAGACGTAGGGTTCCGTTATTAGACTTGAATTCGTAAAACTCGCATGTACTCCGTTCTTCTCTTTTTGCTTCTTTCATGGATTCGTATTAAATCAGATCCAAAATCGTACAAAGTGGTAGCAGAGCACGGTTTAGAGCAGGAGGAGTATCGCGGTGTTAGATCGAAGAAGGTCAATCGGAGATGGCGACATCACCGGCTGGTATCGAGAAGTTCGATGGAACTGGAGATTTCTCTCTGGAAACAGAGGATGTACGCTCACCTGAGCATATCGGGACTGAAGGATGTCCTTGTTGAGCTCCCTAAAAGCTCAACACAGATTGCGGAGATCTCCCCCGCGGCGGCGATGGTAGTGGCTGAAGGCAGGGCATCGGTTCTCCCGAATAAGAAGAAAGACGTTATGGTTGATGAAGAAAGTGAGGAACGATGCAAAAGGGCCAAGCATCTGATTTTTCTGAGTGTTGCAGATCCGGTTCTCAGAAAGATTGAGTGGTGTACGACTGCAGCAGAAGCTTGGGCGTTATTAGAGAAAGAATACATGCCCCAGTCTCTTCCAAATAGGGTCTACGTACAACTGCAACTCTACGGATTCAAGATGCAAGATCACAAGACGATCGATGAGAATGTCGACGAGTTCTTGAAGCTGATTAGAAAGCTGAGTCACGTGAGCATACAAGTACCAGAAGAAGTCCATGCGATTCTTATTATGAACTCTTTACCAACAAGGTATGATCAGTTCAAGGAAACCTTGAAGTATGGAAGGGAGTCGATTAAAATGGCGGATGTGGTGAGCTCAGCAAGGTCAAAGGAGAAAGAGCTAAGGAATAGCTCAAGTTCAAAGGGCAGTTCTAAGGGACACTTTGCCAGAGGAAGATCCGAGAATCATGGTTCACACGAAGGCAAGGGAAAAGGAAACAGGCCAAGGTCTCGGTCTAAGGATGGAAAGAAGATTTGTTGGATTTGTGGCAAGGAGGGTCACTTCAAGAATCAGTGCTACAAGTGGTTAGAAAGGAACAAGGGAAGGCATCAGTCACAGGGTAAAGGAGAGTCATCTCTTGCAAAATACGATGCACAAGACTTGGTGGGATTGATTGTCTGCGAGGTGAATGTGTCTCAAGCTACGGTGGATCATGAGGAATGGGTAATGGATACGGGATGCTTTTTTCATATGACACCAAGACGAGATGTGTTCATCGAGATGACAGAAGTGACATCAGAAAGAGTCAGAATGGCTAATAACACAAATTCAAAGGTCAAGGGAATTGGGTCAGTAAGGTTCTTGAACTCTGATGGCACTACGTTTTTTCTGCTCGATGTTAGGTATATGCTAGACATAGGCAGAAACTTGATATCAGTCGGGACATTAGAGAATAAAGGCTGCGAGTTCAGAGGATCAAATGGTGTTCTGCGAGTGGGGGTTGCACTGTGATCATGAAGGGTGCTAGGAATGGCAGAGATACTTTGTATATCTTACAAGGTAAAGCGAAGACTTCAGAGGCATGTGTAGTGACATCTCAACCAGTGAATCAGGAGAAGCAGAGCACGAGCTACACTCAACTTTGGTACAGTCGTTTGGGTCACTGCAGACACAAAGCACTCGAGATTCTAGCAAAGAAGGGTTGCATAGAAGCTGATAAAGTTACAGAGGTATAGTTCTATGAGGACTGCGTGATTAATAAAACACACAAAGTCAGTTTTGGTCTGGCACAACATGTCACTAAGGAGAAGCTGGATTACATACATTCGAACTTATGGGATCACCGAATGTTTCCATGAGCCTAGGAAGATGTCAGTACTTCATCTCTTTCACCGATGACTGGTCCAGGAAGGTCTAAATATACTTCTTGAAGACCAAAGATGAAGCGTTTAATCGGTTTGTCGAGTGGAAGAAGATGGTGGAGGTTCAATCCGAGAGGAAAGTGAAGAAGCTTTTTGATACTTTCTGCAACGAAGAGGGTATTGTCAGACACAAGACTGTTGCTTATACTCCTCAACATAATGGAGTCGCAGAGAGGTTGAACTGAACCATTATGAACAAGGTGCGGAGTATGCTTAGTGAGAGTGGGTTAGAACAGCGCTTATGGGCAGAAGCAGCATCAACGACAGTCTACCTGATAAACAGATCACCATCGTTGGTGATAGGATTTGAGATTCCAGATGAGATATGGACTTCAGCTGTTCCTAACCTGGCAGGTTTAAGGAGGTTTGGTTGCATTGCTTACATTCATTCGGATGAGGGAAAGCTGCAGCCAAGAGCAAAGAAATGAATCTTCATGGGCTATCCAGAAGGAGTTACATGCTTCAGAGACTATCTTAAGGAGTTACAGGCTTCAGAGACTATCTTCTTAAAGACAGAAGGTGCACCATTAGTAGGAACGTGGTCTTCAGGGAGGACGTGATGTACAAAGACATCAAGTCGGGCGATAAGTCAGGTAACTCTGTGGATATGGTTTATACTAATCAACTTTTAAGTTTTGATCTTGCAGGTAATCTTAGGGAATTAGGAGATTCAGCTCAAGGTGGAGCTACTGAAGAGATGCAAGATCAAGGGGGGAATGGTGAACAAATTCAAGTCCAAGTTGATGAGGTTGACGAGGAGCGTACTCAAAGCACTGCTGTTCCTCAGTCCGAAGAAGAACGTCCGAAGAGATCAACAAAGCTTCCAGAGAAGCTCAGAGACTTTGTGATGTATCGGGATGACTGCGACGATGACATCGCAGGCTATGCATACTTAGTGGTTGAAGATGGGACAACAGGTTCGACGAGTTTATGCAGAGTAGCAAGTAAAGCAGGAGTGAGTATGACGCATGTGTTTACTACAAGAAACTGAAGAGCGGAGTGTATGTTTATCTACTTCTGTATGTAGATGATATACTGATTGCTTCAAAGGATAAGGATCAAGTTAGTGAGTTGAAGAAGCTTCTCAAGTCAGAATTTGAAATGAAGGATTTGGGAGATGCTAAGAAGATTTTGGGAATGGAGATCAGTAGGGACAGAGTCAAAGGAACTCTTACCATTTCTCAAGAAGTTTATCTAGCTAAAGTACTAAGAAACTTTGGTATGGATCAGTCGAAGGCAGTCTCGACACCTTTGGGGATACACTTCAAACTGAAGTCAGCTACTGATGAAGAGGCACAAGAGCAGTTTGAAGAAATGAAGCAAGTTCCATATCAGAGTGCAGTGGGAAGGGTTATGTACTCGATGATTGGTACACGACCAGATCTAGCCTACTCCGTAGGGATGGTCTATAGATTCATGAGCAAACCATTGAGAGAACACTGGCGAGCAGTGAAGTGTGTAGTGAGGTACATTAATGGGTCATTGAAGACGAAGCTCTGTTACAAGAAAGAATGCAAGTTCGTCATCAGAGGCTATTGTGATGCAGATTTTACTGCTGACTTAGACAAGAAGAGGTCAATCTCAGGGATGGTGTTCACGGCAGGAGGCAATACTATAAGTTGGAGATGCAATCTTCAGAAAGTAGTAGCTCTGTCGACCACAGAAGCTGAATATATGTCATTGTCAAATGCGTCACAAGAAGCAGTGTGGCTCAAAGGTTTTGTAAACGAGTTGGGGTTTGAACAAGGGCCTGTCAGTATCAGCTGTGATTCTCAGAGTTCGATTGCATTAGCGAAGAATGCAGTGCATCACGAGAGGACAAAACACATTGATACGAAGTATCATTTCATTTGCGATTTGATTAGTTTTGGTTTGGTAAAAGTGGAGAAGATAGCTACAGCCTATAATCCAGCGGACATTTTTACGAAGACTCTTATAGTGGGCAAGTTTCAAGAAGCTTTGAAGCTGCTCAGGGTTACTGAAGATTGAGTGGGAGTGCTCAGAAGCAAAGGTTGAGTGGGTTTACTCAGGAGTCATACAATTGAGAGGGTTATCTCAGGGGTGCTCGAGTTTATAGCATAGGTTTACACAAGTGTGTAAGATGGGCGGGTTTGCTCATGTATCGGAGGTGGAATCATCAAGCTAATGCAAGTGAG